ATGTCTACACATGTGAAAAGCAATTCGACTTTGCACTTACAATTGTGCCATAGCCCCGTTTGGTTACTTGCACTCGCTGGTGGAATTAGACTTTTGCAAGAATCGGAGGCCATTGCACTTTTATTTTTAATCAGAAAAAAGTGCCCAATGCGGGAATCGAACCCGGGTCGCAGCGGTCGGAAGCCAACGGTTTATATCATCCTTCCACAGACCCCCTATATATAATTGTAATATATTTTACTATTTGATGTTACTTCCACTAGCTAAAATTCATCAATTAAATACTATGTTGCAAATGTTAAAGCTAGAAAATATTAAGAGTGTGTGTCTCATTTAATATTTGAATAAAACTATAAACAGCTTTCATAATAGTATATCAGAAAGTTACCTACCCAATTTGGCGATTTGTTGTGCGAGCCAAGTTGCTCCAGTAATAGCAAGGCCAATGAATCTATAAAACACAAAATGTATTACAATCAAAACATTATAATTAGTATTATTAGGTAGATTTTGTTTGTGAAAAATGAAAAGTTAGGTTAAAGCTAATTCTCATTTTGAAATTGGTGGACATAATTAGACAGATATTCCGAAAAATTAAAATGTTTTTATATAATAACGTGAGAACATAAATATATCTAAAATTATATCTGATTCCTATTAGAGAGAGAAATGTATATCCAATATCAATTTTACATATGTACGATATCTATAATTGAAAATAAAAAGGCATATCCTGACCGTACTCACATGAGCATTTCTAGATGGCAGAGCGCCATCTGGTGTAACAAAAATAAACTAAACGTTTATTTAACTTGTTCCGTGATATTTGGCCAACCCAATTTCTTGATAAATCAAGAAAAGCCATCCACGAACGCTTTCGCGCTGTTGGCCCTCGTCAGCGTGGTGCAGACTGTACCTCTACAACCAAAATTTGGTCCAAGATGCTTTTCAGATGGCAGAGCGCCATCTAGTGGTATAGAAATCAAATAAACATTGATTTAACCTGTTCCCTGATATTCGGTCAACCCAATTTCTTGATAAATCAAGAAAAGCCATCCACGAACGTGTTTCGCGCTATTAGCGCTCGTCAGCGTGGAGTACACCACGCCATTGAAGAAATTGGGTTGGCCAAATATCAGGGAACAGGTTAAATCAACGTTTAGTTGATTTCTGTTCTACCAGATGGCGCTCTGCCATCTGAAAAGCACATGTGCTGCTGGTCAAGATATGCCTTTTTTTATTTTTAATATCAACATCTGACATTTTTTTTATTTTTTTCTATTATTTTTTCACATATATATTATTATTGGTGAAATTTTACTTTATATATTCAAGAACATTGGCAAAGCGAATGGAATTATCAAAAAGGAAAGTGATTATTAAATAGATAACACTGAAGAATTTTCATTTTTGTAGTTGAATATGAACCGAAGTTTTTCTGTATTAGAGCTTTAAGTAGAATATATAGGTACTTTTTATTTGAAACAGAGAGTTTATTATAAAAAGTTATTCGATATCTGGAAATTCTATTCCTAACATTTTCTCAACAACATAAACCTTAGGTATATTTGAAGTAAAAAGTATTTTTTATTATACCTAGTACACGTGGTACACGGCATGATAATAATGGTAGATAGAAGTTGGCAACTGCTTTTATTGTAAATTTACCACATGTGTCTACACATGTGAAAGGGCAGTTTGACTTTTGCACTTACAAATGTGCCAGAATCCGTTTGGTTACTTGCAATCACTGTTGGGTATGAACTTTTGCAAGAATCAGGGCCTATTGGAGCATTTTTTAAATATAATAAAAAGTGTCAAATTCGGGATTCAAACCCAGGTCGTAGAGGTCGAAAACCTATGGCTTAGATTACTCGTCCACTGAATCCCCAGTACAAAGTATAAATATAAGTAGAAATATGTATTGTTATATTTTTTACTTACGGGCTCTCCAGTTCTTTCATATTTTCTCTGAAAGACAAAAAAAATCAGAAATGAAATTGATTATTAAAAATTAAAATAAAGATATATATCAGCAACAATTAAATTTGAGCAATGCTTTTCTTTCTTTTTTTATCTCTACAGGCCTTACTGCAATGATTAAAGTAATTGAATGAGAGGGCATGGCTTTAGAGGGAGGCTAGAACCAAGCCATCTCATTCAATAACTTTTATCATTTCAGTAATGCCTGTAGAGAGGAAAAGAAACATATTGCCTAAATTTAATTGCTACATATTTTATCGATAAATGTATATTAAATCTATAAAATAAAATATAAATTTGAGCTATATAGGAAAGACCAAAAGAACTTTAAAGATACTGAATTATTGAAGTATTATATATTTCTTCTCAGTTAGTCTACAATGTCTTAGAAAATTTCATGTTCCGATTATTTTTTATTCTACAGTTTTGAGAATTATCAGTTTTCAAATACTTACGAGCTTTCGAGTTCCTTTAATGTGTTCCTATACACCCCATGCCATTGTTATAAAATGTTGAAAGATCTTAATTACACATAAATATACACATATATGATTAAATACTCTAATAAAGAATATTCTTATAGAGGCTTTCTGAGAAATGTTGGCCCTCGTCAGCGTGGTGCAAACTGTACCTCTCTACGACCAAATTTGGTCCCAGAGGATTCCTGAGAAATCAAGAAATGGGTATTTAAGGCCAAGTTTGCGTGAATACGCTTTTCATATGGAAAAACAATTTAGAAATATTTAAAAATCTGACCTTTTTATATTTTATTGTTTTTTCATATATATATGTTATATAAAAATATTATTTTATTTTAAAATTATAATTTCATAGATTTAAATACTCTGCTAAATCGACCGCCAGAGGTCATGCTTCCCCTATAAAAACTCGTTGTTGTTCTTCCCCGTTGGCCGGCACAAAACTTTTGTACATTATGTAAATAATCTTTTGTTTTTCTTATTCTACTCGCCTTAAGCCAGGCAGTACCTTTATAAAATTGTTTTTTATGCATATCCCTTAGCTCAAATAAATAAATCTCTAATATTTAATATTTTTATTATTCTTTCAAAATTATTAACCACGACTGCATCACCAATACCATTTAGTACTAAAAAGAACCAGCAAATAACTCCATGGCATAATCCTCAACATAAACTAAATTCAAGCAGAAAATATATTTTCTTTATATAATATATATATATATATTAAAATAAAGAAGGCATCTCCTGATCACGAGCACATGTGCTTTTTTCATATATATATATTTGAGCCCTCTTATTAGAGACATCTCAATTATTACATACATTTTATTTATATATTCAATAGATATTTCTCTTATTAAACTTCAAAATTATTAATATATAATAAAATACTTATAATATACTTACAATGCGCTCTCAAGTTCCTCCAATTGGGCAGCTTTGTCTGCACATTATTAATTTTAATTAATAACTTATATTTATTCAGTAAAATTCTAAAGGATTAACATCTTAAAATATACTTTGCTTACTATAAATTATGAGAGAGATATATTCCTTCATATAATTTTTCATATATATATGGTATGAAAGGTGAGAAAATGAACACACCACAAGTTGGAAGAGGAACCCAGACAACCAGAGAGAGAGAGACAGGACCGGCACAGTACGGAGGCCGTTCGTGTCGCACACAATCCCCAACTTTCTTAAAAGTCCCGAGATGTTAACTAACGTGTGGTCGCCCCTTGGAATGTCGATGGTAGTGACCGATATTTACCCGCCCGTCTCTCTCTGGGTTGTCTGTAGGTTGGCTTTATTATTCCTAGAAATATATTATGACATTCTCGTATATATATGGAAAATTTGCCGGGAGGAAATTGATCTAAAAAAGCATAGAGCTCCTTATAGATGGCGTGATATGATGATATAAGGAAGAATATACTGAGAGAAAGAATATAGAAATTTCATCCCCCTTCCAATTATTAACTAGTATGGGAAAATTATTATGAGAATTCAATTTTATAATGGTAAATTATATATCGAATTGCACAAAATCTCCGTTATCTTCAGAGAATTATATTCCTAACATATTGCTTACCTTTCCATCTCAAGCCGCCCCTGTACTGATGAGGGTCAAAGCAAGAAACCATGGTGAGGTTGATTTACCTCATCAGGCTTCAATCCGGCTCGAGGGTCCAATGTATGAAAAAGTGAAAGTTGTATAAGCTTATGATTTTGCTTTGTTTTAAAAATGAATCGATGTTGGTTCCATATTCTTGAATTGAATATTACACCTTAGTTCTATATATTTTATTGCTTAAAAAGAAACACAACAAAACAAAAAGGAAACTACAATTGCAAAATGTTTTGATAACTAACTTAGACAAATAATAATATCAAAAAAATAACAATTTCTAACGCTTTGCCTAATGTTTTAATTTTTGTTCCCTCCTGACGAGGACAAAATATTTTTGTCGAAACGTAGAGACAATAAAAAGATTTACTGGCCGAAGTGTATTTTATTTGAAGAAATATTTTTTTAAAATGATGATGATAAAAAAATTGAATATGTCTGCCAGAAAAATGCTTCTATGAATTAAAAAATAAAAATAATTACAAAATTAACATATAAACTTCAAACACAAGGTATACAAGTTGTTGACTTTTTGTATGAATTTTCTGAAACTGGTGGTGTGGCTTCTTCATATCATAACTAGTAAATCTTTTACTAGGGTGATGCAAAGTGCTATCGTTTATATGCACAAATAAAGAGAGGGGTTCCTCTTCCAGTTTATGAATATTGTAGCGAAGTATTTATTATTTTACACTATTATTAGCAGAGTATTATGTTTTTATAATATAATACACTGCGGCCTGTGATTGTAAAACGGCACTTGAGAGAAGTTACACCGCATGAGTTTCTTTTTACGAAAAAATCAGATTTTTATTTCAAGGTGAAATATCGAGTATTTCTAACCTTTTTGGATGAGGTATGAAAGGATGAATTATGAAAAGTAATGATGAACGGAAAAATAAAAGTGTCAAGGGATGGGAATCGAACCCACAATGTTCCGCTTACCGGGCAGATGCCATGTCCACTAGGCTACCCTGGACGTATTTTTCCGTTCGTAAATGATACATAAAGTAACCTATAATACAATATAATACACTTCGGCCTGTGATTGTAAAACGACACCCAAAAAGGTTAGAAATACTCGATATTTCACCTTGAAATAAAAATCTGACTTTTTCGTAAAAAGAAACTCATTATGTTTTTATGTTTATATTTTACTACTATGTAAACTTCCATCTTTTTCCTATCTTTTGTTTATGACTGATAATTTGTCCTTGCCTTAAATAAATTGCTGAACCATCCTGTAGTTTGTCTTTTCTAATTTTCCACGTGGCAATATCATTCTCCCCATTTTACAAATTCAATTTAGAAATATTAACCTCTCATATATTTATCTCTATCATCAGGATGGTATTCACATATGCATCCAATTTAATTTAAAAGATTTACATGAAACTAAAAGTAAATGGATTTTTACCTATTTCTTTCCTTATTGGAATATAAATATTTAATGTGACAAAATTAACCAGTTGACATATCCCTGCTAGATAGATGTAGAAAGGCGAAAAAATAATTTATACAAGCGCAGCTCTCACGGGACGGCACCGCATGCACTGATCCTCATCAGCTAGCGCCATCTTCCGTTGAAAAAACGAACCATTGTTACACATATGCAAATCACTGGTAATATTTATCTTCCTTCATGATGCCTGAGGCATGTCTGAAATATTCAATATTAAAATAAAAATGTTAAAATTTATATTTAAACATAATCAAAAAGGTTTGGAATGAGTTGTTTTTTTAAACGTAAAATCTTTAGTTTTCCAACTTTTCGAAATATTTTGTTTTAAATTATTTCATTTCTGAAGTAGTCATTTTTAATGTATATTAAAAATCTCTTTTGTCAAAATATTCACAAAATCTTAAACATACTCACTGGCGTATTTAGCAGTAGCAACAGCTACAAGTACGGCAAGAGATACCAGAACAATGAAGGCCTTCATCTGAAACATAAATGTAGTTATTAAAAATAGGAAAAATATAATAGAATAAAGTATAATGTTTCAATTTATTGTAACGTGGAAAATTAGGAAAGACAAACTTTAGGATGACACAGCAATTTATATAAGGCAAAAGTCAACATTTATAAGATATAAGATAAGCAATAAGGGAAGTTTTCAGAGTAACAAAATATAAATATCGAAAATTATACTCTATATATAAAATATAATAAATATTTGCTATAATAATTATAAACAATCTATCTAAAAAGGTGGTTTATACCGCAAACCTTTATACTTATTCCTATTACCCTTTGACAGCTATGTAGATCTAGGTCTGGGATGAGTTATGTTTATAAGCCCAGAATATGTAAATGAGTCGGTCCAGATTAAAATATTTTTTTTAATATTCAGCCTTGATATTTTGTTAATTCTTTTGATAGAGATGCTTCTGAATATAGTTATCTAACCTCATGAAAGCCAACACCTTCAAAATATTGATATTTGATAAAAAATATATATATATTATATGTATATAAATTTTAGAATTGTTAGATAAATATTTTATATTATTATTCAAAATGTGATATTATTATATTGTATATCAAATTTATGTGATACTGTCAAATTGTGTGAAAAATAGCGCGTCAGTTACAACAAAATACATTTTCTCTAAGCAAAATTTTGTTAGAAGGTAAAAATACTGAAATAGATTAATACAATCGTTAAAAAATACTGTAATTTTCTTATACTTTAAATACACACTTAGACTCTAAGGCCATATTTCTAAGTTCGCTAAACTTGCTATACTTAAAATTAAACTACTTTTTATACAGTACTGGACATTATAATTACTACGCCGAGAAGTGGATACGCTAAAGACGTGAAATTTACATTATAAAAGGAAAATGCTGCAATACTGTAATTCTCCTGTATAACTTTTATTTGTACTTTTTCCTGGTGTAACAATTTTAATTCACACAATAGTGTATTTAATTGTTTTTAAAGACTATTATCTTTATACTGCGATATTTTACATAGATTTTATTTTATAAACCTCAAATTTATTGTAAATTGCTTTCAAAGTTTTTAATGCGAAATATTTGTTAGCAATATATATATATATTGTCATATATCGTTTGTAATGTTTTTCAACATTAGCATTTTTTGTTGTTGTTTTATATATTATTATTATTTTTTTAGTTTAGTTTTATTAAATCATTTTGAGAGATAGAAAGAATACCATTGACTCTGAGAATGAATTGAAAATAAAATGAAGAATTAAAAAAGTATATTTTTAAAATAACAGAATAAAGGAAATTTCTGTATATTTGAAATTTAATTTCCTTTAATTTTTTTCTTTATAATTTATCAGTATATTTTATCTTAATTTTAAGTTCCGTCATTTAAAATTCAAATATTTTTTTCTTTTTTTTTTCTCATTATATTTTTCTTTTTATCCTTTCTTAAAAGCACTTATAGATATAATTTGCTGTCTTTATGTAAGATCCCGAAATAATTACAATTCTTTGCCTCAGTACCTTGGTGAACAATGTAATTCTAACTCCACCTTTGCCGGTCCCAAGCCCGGATGAAAAAGGAGGAGGGGGAGCAGTAACAAGTTCGCTAAAATACCTGGGCTCAGCTAGCCCGGCTGATAGTACCCTGTAAGGGCTCAAAGGATACAGTATGAGCAGTACCTGTACTCCATGTTAGGAGCAACTGCACATGGTGTCTGTTCCTCATGTCAGAGGAGGCCATTTCTTTTGTAGCTAATTCGGCCTGCCATTGAATAGTGCTCCCAGTCTTAATGACAAAGGCAAACGCATTCTACTTCACCCAGTCATAATGGTTGTCAAACAGATACCATCAAGGGTCACAACTTGATATCCTAATATGATTGAGTGGAGATAAGAAAGAAGAAGAAGACAATGTATTTCTAAATCATCTTAATGATAGAGTTAGGTTTGGGTATAGCACATATTTGGTGAGTGCGTGCTAGAGAATAAGATTTTAGCTAATGTATACTGTATATATATATATAATTGAGGTTTGAATCTCGAGCCAATATAAGATATCAATTTAAATTAACTGTATTTTAAAGTTATAGTCAAAAGGCGTTCCATTAAATAAGTTTATATATAAAAAGGGCGTATTTGAATCTGTAAATAAAAAATTAAACATGTTTTTCTCAAAATATTTCGAGAGATTGCTCCCTCTTTATCAATTTATTGCACAGTAAACTTACGATGTACTAGAGCGCCATCTGTTATCAAATTATAAAACTATTTTAGAGGCGTAATATTCTTTTATTTTAAAATTGTTTTATTTTAAAAAGAATATTACGCCTCTAAAATAGTTTTATAACAGTAAACTTAATCTACAATTTATTGTAGATCACATGAAAACAACTTTTGTTTCAAAAACATAATAATTTTTGTTTAAAAATTTGTTTTCATGTAATCTACAAGAATTTGTAAAGCAGGTTTACTGTGCAATAAATTGATAAAGAGGGAGCAAGTGTGAAACAGATACAGGTACGCCCTTTTTTATATAAATGTATTTTAAAGGTTTGGTGCACACACAATTGTGCTTTAGAAACTAGCTAATTCACATAAGATAGTTAAAATAATTATAAAATAATATCTAATAAGAAATATAAAAATGTAGATAACCTTTAGTTTCTTACTTGAAGATACTGTGAAGTTGCTCTACTGGGTTTATATATTGGAATTCTAAGGAGAGACACCATCTGCTAGCAAATATTTCTCTTTGTATTTTAGAATCTCAACATGTTTCATTGTATTTAAATTTATCAGTTGTAAGGTTCCCTAAAAACGTGTATCGAAAATATGTTTGGAAAAATAATTCTTCTTTGATGATCGTGTTAATACATGGTTAGATTTAATTTATTTTCTTATTTAAAAAGAATGAAAATTCGATATTGAAATGTTATATAAATTTTATAAACTCTGAGAGTATAAATCTTAAGCATATATAATCATAATTCGATAAAATAACCCCTTGAATTAATATTAAAAGAAACTTTTGCCTGGAGGCTTTATGTTTTTATTTTAATATATAATCATCAAAAATATTTTTAAAAATTCAAATCCTCTCTATATATACAGTGAAAAATAAAATATATCATCCATTTATTGTCGAAAGTTCTGTGTTTAGGATTAATTGGGATGTCTAAAAGACTAGAGCTGTGATCCATGTTGAGAGAAGTGGAGCGCTTTAGTCTTTGATTTGGGTCTCAATTTTGAATGCAACTTCCTGTAAGATCTTCATTTGGAGAATTAATCTTTTTGAATATGAATTTTGAGAAACAGATTTTTCTTCTTAGGTGCAGGGGAAGAAGGTTGGATTCGAGTTCAGCAATGCGATTTGGGCAGGATCCTCGAAGCCCGCTGATGATTTTATCTGCCCTTTCTTGGATTCTGTCTATTCTGGATAGGCTGGTTTTACTTGCATTGATCCAGGCTGGGAAAGCATATTCCAAAATAGGCCTTACGAGTGCAAGGTATGTTGTGCATAAGATATTGGCTTTTAGACCCCAGTTTAAGTCTGATTTTTTTTTTTTATTCTGAGTCTATTTTTAGTTTTGTGTATCATGGTGTCAATATGCTTTTTAAAAGTGAGAGAAGGATCAAGTGTGACACCAAGATATCTTGGGAAATCTGAATATTAGATTATTGAGTTGTTCAATGAAATATTTGGGGTCCAGTTGCGAAGATGGTTGTTGATGGTGAAGAGGCCAATTTCAGATTTTCTGATGTTTATAGAAGATTTCAAATTTCAATTCCGCCTTTGCCGGTCTCAAACCCGGACAAAAAAGGAGGAGGAGGAGCATTAAAAAGCCCGCTAAAAAACCTGGGCTCAGCTGGCCCGGCTGATAGTACCCTGTAAGGGCTCCTGATCCAGAGATACAGGATGAGTGGAGTTTGTACTCTATATGGTAGGAACGGCTACACATGGCGTCTGTTCCTCATGTCAGAGGCGGTCATTTCTTTTGGAGTTAAGTCGACCTGCCACTG